AAAAAATGAGGTAGTACAAAGACAGGTCCTAGAAAAAGAATTAGCTTTTGAAAAACTAAAATTGTTAATCTCAAATGAATGTTTGGAAAAAAACAATGCCCATAACAATGAATTACAGGAGACTAACACACAAACATAGTTGCTTGTACAGGAGTAAAGTACCATACACCACAAAGAAAGTTGAGAACACTGATTAAAGGGCCCTACAGGGACCCAGAGTCACTTTTCTTATCCTCCTCTGAAGATGATGAGTACTCAGAATAATCAAATGTTTCCTCTAATGATGGGAATGTGGACAGCTGAAAAGCTCACCAACTTATGATCAAGCAGAGAAAAGAAAGGGTACAAGAAAATTCATAAGAGTGCATGTGAAGTAGTGCGAGGATACTGTCACAGGTGGCGGTCCGAAGACCGGGATCCCTGTATGCCTGATGATGGTAGAAGTCACAGCGTGGAAATGAACAATCAGGGTCTGGTGCAGGGTAATCAGGGTTTGTGCGACCACATACTAGGGCCCTGATGCAGCTCCTGCAGATCCCAGGAGCTTGATATTATGCAGATAATGTATCCAGTACTAGAGACTAGGAAAATCTAGAATAGGCACCAAACAAGATAACAAGACAAGACTAGAAGAACCCAGAACCGGAGCAGGACAGAAAGCAGAACATGTACACAAGACATGAGGGAAACAAGAACAGGACAGGGACAGGGCAGGACTGTACATGAACTGGGAATACAAGACAAAATAAAACAAGACAAGAGATACATGGCAAAACAAGAGGAGAAATAACCAAGTACTATATATGTAGTAAATATTGGAGGTTTAGACATACATAAATGGCCAAGATGTGTGAAACCCACCACTGCACCAAAATACTCCAATCACAGTGGGTCCTAACTGCCTAGATATGCATGACTAAAAGTACAAAAATAAAACACACACACAGTACTTACCTGCAAGGAAAGGAGCAGAGGAATAAAAAACCACTGCTAGCAGGAACACACTGAAACAAAAAGAATAAATAGCATGTGTGTGGCATAGGTGTGGCAACAAAAAAACAAACATTTAAAGAAATCCAGTGTAACCGTTAGTACTCCAATTTACCGCTATAACGTCTTATAACTTAGAAATTAACAGGGCTAACATACAGATATCTTAGCTAAAATATTGTATAGTCGGTATAGAGTTTCTCTATTTAAAATACATAAATAATTGAGAATACAATAAAAATAGGAGTTGGAAGCAATAACTTTTGTCTTATTAATATAGTTTATTGAATATAAATGAATACAGATATATAATTTTAGTAATCCATTAATATATCATAAAGCAGAGTATATAAGATTAAATGAATAAATGCTTGCAATATAATTAGTATAACATACCCTCCTGATTATACAGGTAATCTCTCAGTATGTCACCTCCAGAGTTGGTCAGTAAGACTCTACCTAGCATTGATCATGCATGTATATATAGTATAGCATTTCTAATTACTACTGGTAATGTATGGGTTAATTCATTTTAGGGTTTAAAGCAGTTCATATATAAAAATAAAAGAAAAACACCCTTATCAGTCTAATGTCATAACCCAGACATCTTTAATCTGTATTTGGACTAGAAGTTAGGTTGACATACACCTTAAGGTTAAAAGAAGTTCATATATAAAAATAAAAAGTCTAATGTCATAACCTAGACATCTTTAATCTTTATTTGGACTAGACGTTAGGATGACATAGGCAAAGCCTTGAATTGTTATTGCATTAAATTAAAACAAGATGGAGTAAATATGTTGTGTACTGTAAATAGGTAAAAGGTTATTAGTTAAAGAAACAGTTGCAGTTTAAAGAAATACAATTTAGCAATGTGTATTATACCTACAATTGTCCATCACACCAGGAGACTTGGAATTCCAGGAACGGAATAAAGGAATAAACCCAGCATAAAGAAAACCAGACATAGAACAGAGAACCAGAAAAACCAAGAAAAACTAAACAAGAATTGTAAAAAAGATCTGGATACCAGAAACCATGGGCAAAAATGATCTGCAGACTGTAACAGAACGTGACAGATACTCACAGCTAGAAAGAAAGACTGATTAATTAGCCCTAATACTTGAAATATTCCAACTGAGGGTTGGTCAGTGTGGGTGGTACCAATTCCACCCAGAGCATAACCCTTAAAATTACATTTGAATCAAAAGTAAGGGAAATCCCTTTTGAGAGATCACTAATATGGTATTTGAACAAAATAAAGTAGCTGACTGGAATGTATTTAACAGTAAATAGTGTTAGAGAAAATAGATACAATTTAGCAACAGATTATCCACTTGGCTGTCTGATCAGTGATTGCTAGGCTTTATTTCACCTCCTTGACAAAAATGAACACTTATACAGGAATTTTATCTATTACGTGGGGGAATTAAAATAAAAAAATAATAAGGAACGCCAAACCCCTAGAAAAATCTCTCACTAGAGTTGCTGAATTTCGAGACAATAAGCTAATAGTAGGATGAAATCAAATTAGAGATAAAAGGGAGAGATCTACTAAACTGTCGATTGGCTATAGTGTAAACTAAAGCGGGGGGTAATTAGGTGAGGTGTAATCTTAGAAAGAAAGGAGGGATGAGCTTATAGTAGGAAGACCATCCTCTGGAAGTCTAGGAGGAAAACATTAAAAAAAGCAGGTAAGTATATTAGAGATTAAAGGCAGTGATTAACACAGGCAAAAAACAATGATTATAACAGCTGATCACATACAAAGACTCTGGTATTTACCCTATAATTTCAATATTACTGACATAATAAACAATAAAGGCAGAAGCATGTATCCTCTAATATAAAGATGATTTGATTTGCATTAAATGGAATCAGAAAAAGTGCCTTTCCTACATCCTACCTGCTACTGTCCTTCCAAGAGATCTCTAGCTCTCTATTAACTCTCTGAAACTTGTAGATCAACTTATCCACTTATACTGATGCTTCCTCCTGTACCTTCATGGGTGCTAAGATCCTTGTACCGATACTCCCTCCTGCACCTTTGTGGGTGCCAAGTCTTCAACTCCCTAAATGCTAGGCTTGAAAGCGGCTTTCAATCATCATATTGTCATAGAGTATACCCTCACATAGCCCCCTTCACATCCTGACTTGAATGATAACCCCAAATTGGAAGTATAGTGCAAGTGCATAGTGCAAGTGAATAAAAAATAAATAAGAAAAGACGGATGCTCTAGCACCTTTGTCAGGGGAGAAAACTTCATACTGAAAGTCTCAAGTTTAAAAAGGTCACAAACGGAAGTCAAAGTGTTGAAAGAGCTGCAACAGAAAAAAGTAATAATTATTAAACAATCCGATAAGGGGAAAAACATAGTAGCTCTAAATACAGAACAATTACTGATGATGCTACTAAATTTTAAAATCTGATCCAACAACATGTTTCTTAGGCAAGCTAGAAAATTATTCTACAAAAAGGTCTTAGAGACCAACTTATCTCCAAATAATAATATGACTTCATATTAAATTTCTACCTGTGTACAGCCACTTTTTACAGCTTGCCCAAGATACATAAAAACAGCCAATACTATCTGGGAGACGAATAATGTCAGGAAATGTTAACCTGACTTAAAATGTAAGTGTATACATAGATTGGATTCTAAGATCTTTGGTGGTCAGGTTATCTTCTTATTTGAGAGACACTAAACAGATAATTACAGAGTTATCATCCAAACAGATGCCTCAGGGCTCTCTACTATGTAGTTTAGATGTTGATGCCCTCTACAGCTCCATACCCCATATTCTGGGCTTACATCATGTCAAATGTTTTCTATCAAAAAAGGAGAACATATGGAGAAACACAACCAATTTAGAAAAAGTTGTGTTCTCCGACCTGTACAGAAATTTTGTGAAATGTATCCACACATGGAAAAAATTATATCTTGATTATCTGGATGGTATCTAGTGAAGATTTCTTCACCTTTGTCAAGCTACTAAATAACAATTTAAATTTAAAATTCAATTCAGAGGTGTGTAACCCTTCCTTAAATTTCCTGGATGCCACATTAACTCCAGAGACTGCAAGTACCATATGGACAGATCTATGAAGGCTTTTATAAACAGGTTCTGGCCCATCCTGAGACAAGATGTACACCTCAAGGATGTAAATTCTCCATTTGCATCTTAACCAGCAAGAAAGGAAACAAAATCTAAAAGACCTATTTTTTGTTTTTAAATTCATTATTTTGTTGTGCATAGAGAATAGAGAGAAGCATGCAATGCCACATCAGCTATTGCTAGCATTACAATCTACATACAAAGGCAATTGTTTGGCACAAGATAACACTGTACATTTTATATTATAAAACAAACAGGTAAGTGAGAGTCAGGACATATACTAAAATAATCTACATGACAAAGGCAATTGTTTGGCACAAGATAACACTGTACATTTTATATTATAAAATAACAGGTAAGTGAGAGTCAGGACATATACTAAAATAGTTAGAACTCGGCAATTGACAGCTCTTACAGGGCTATACGAGTGTAAATTAGAAAATAAAATAAAATAAAAGATTAACAACAAAAGCTATGTAACTAAGCATGAGATGTTCCCCAGAAGGACCCTTGTGTAATAACTATAAGGTCCTACAGATTCTGAAAGGGAAGAGGTTAGTAAACAGCAGAAGAACATAACACCATAAATCTGGATAATGCTAACCCCCCCCCCCCCCCCCGCAACTACAGGGCACAGTCCACGTCCACAAAGGAGCACTTTAGGCTTGTAGACCCAGGTGGCTGACGGCCGGATAATGCGCATATCGGGAACATAATATGCTGCAGCTTTCTCGTTACTTTCACTTTTGGTGAGTGCTGTCGCCTGCGACTCCTCCATACGGTGCCCGCACCGTCAATAGAACTGTTGGATTCTACTGAAGGTCTGGAACCTGTAGACTGTGGGCCTTTGGTTGCTGTGGTGTTTGGTAAGGTTGTCTACCTTCCAGCTTCTTTCAGAAGTTTTCGAGGATTCTGTCCAGCCTGGTGTCCAGATCTGACTTTGCATCACAGGTAGTAGTCAAAAACGCTTTTGCTGCAATTTTGTGAGGGTCACGACAGTTTTCAGCAGCTTGGGTGGCTCTGACCTGCATGCTTGCTAACACTGGGCAGTCTCCCTGGGGTGGGCCAGGATCACTTTTCAACCCAAGGGAAATCCAATATATTATTTCCATTCCCATCAGACACAAAATTCTACAACACGACACTGAAAGTGGATGTGGCTTTAATCAAAGGGTCAAAACTGTGTCACAGTGTCAAGTACCAATAGACAGCGTAGGATCTTTGAGGAAAGCAATAAAAAAGCGATTGGATGCTAACCTGATCAAGACTTACACCTCTTTAGGGGCAGCAATGCATCCTGCAGTGGCCTTAACATCGTTGTCAAGGGTCCTAAGGGTCTGGAACGCTACACTTAATAAAAACATCTGTAAAGGCACTAACAGAGATACATTACAGGACATTTTCAAGCATTTAAGATTCGCTTTAAATTTCATCACAGATGCATTGGTAGACATTACTTCAGGGAAACTTTCTATTTGGAAAACCGTTAGATGATGCTATCTAAGGTGACTGAAAGGAAATAAGTTATCCTGCCATAGGACAGAAGAAAAAAAGCAATATCCAAGCAGATAGATCAGTGGATACAGAACAAAATTCCTTTTGAGACTCCAGATCTTCTAGCCTGGAAGAGAATATTCTAAAGTGTCATGATCCAAGGAGATATCTCACTGCCATTTTAGGGTCAAGAAGGAATTTGTTCCTATTTTGTTGCTAAATTGGAAGCGCTCCAGGCAGGTTTTTTTGCCTTCCTTTGGATCTACAGCAAAAACATATGTGAGAAAGGCTGAACTTGATGGATGCAAGTCTCTTTACAGCTATGTAACTATGTAACATACTGGAAGGGACAGCAGAGTCACTCCCCCAAACCCCAAAGAGGAAGAGGAAAATAGTTTGGCAGGTGGCAGGGAACAGATATTCAAGGCAGGAGCCCACTTCATCAAATCAAGACCTTGCACATCACAGATCGTTCTGTTTTGTCAATTATAAAGAAAAGGGAAAACCAATGCAAAAATTCCTAGAAAAGCTAATTCTACAGTAAATGATTTGTTATGTTCCTTCCATAGAAAGATTTAAAGGTATTTACTCTTCTGTTTTTCTTGCCCCAAAGCCATCAGAAAAATAGAGAATTATTTTGGATCTGAAATAAGTGAACTCGCTATTAAAAAAATAACTTTCAAGATGGAGAGTCTTCAGACTATGATTCCTCAAAGATATCCTACAGAATGGCTAACCTCCATAGACTTTCAAAATGCATACTATCACATCCCTGTAGCACTTGGGCACAGATGGTATCTAAAGTTCAAGATTTTCGAAAGTTATTTCCAATTCCTAGGTGTGCCGTTTGGTCTAATCTCCGTATCCAGTACATTCACAAAGATCCTGATCATCCTTATTGATCTCCTATGGGAATAAGGAATCAGAATATTCCATTATCTGGAAGATATGCTGATTATGAACACATCAAAAGGAAGACTGATGAGATACAGAGACAGTCATTCAGGACTTACACGATTTTGGCTGGATTATAAACTTCAACAAGTATCGAGTGCAACCATCACATCAGTATCGGTTTAGTGAGGTGGGCACACTGGAACCTGAGAATAACACTGAAAAGTTTCTTAGAGCAGTTCAATCAAGAAGATCAAGAATGGAAACAAAAGATCTGGATCACAGAAGAAGTAAGAATGGTTCTTCAGTGGTGGTTGAATGTAGAAAATATCAGGAGAGGCTTCCCACTAAAGGACCCAGAGTTGGAAATAGTGACCACAGATACCAGCGGAAAAGGTTTGGGCAATCAATACATCTTCCAGGACAACTGAACGATATCGCTGACACTATGTACATCCAGGAGAATGGAAGCTGATTTAGGATACGTTCAAACAGATATGCGATCTTTGGGGAACACCGGATATAGATCTGATGGTAAACTACAGAAACAAACAAGTACCCTTTTTTTCTATTCCATAAGATTTGACCCAAGAGCAAAGGTCAAGATGCCCTAACACAGAGATGGAATTATCAGTTGGGATATGTATTCCCTATGCTTCCATTAATCCAGATAACATTAAAAAAGACCTGGGAGGAAAATGTAGAAGTGATAGCAATTATTCCTCATTGGCCAAGGAGGCCTTGGATTCCACCGCTTTTAAGTCTGTCACAAGGAGTTCCTCTGGAACTGCCAATTAAGAGGAATCTATTATCACAGGGTCCAGTTCTCCACAAAGATCCTGCAAGATTCCGTCTGAAGGCATAAAGATTGAGAAGAACTTTCTGAAAGCTAGAAGCTTATCAACATATGTAGTGGAGACTATACTCAAAGGTAGCAATCACACTACATCAAAGGTATATGATATAATCTAAAAAGCTTATGTTGATCTCGGGAAAGTCTCTGAAAATCTAACTGATTTGTTGGTAGTTTTACAAAATGGTGTGAATGAAGTCCAGCATGGAACTTGCCTACAGTTCTGCATAGTCTGACAGGCACACCCTTTGAGTCTATGTGTTTTTCTTCTTGCCATCTTCTCAGCCAAGAGAGCTTCAGAATTACAAGCTCTTTTATCTGATCATCCTTTTACTTACTTTGTTGGAGATAAGGAGGTTCTAAGGTTGGTTATGATATTCATTTAAAAGGTTCCTTTCCTAATTTTACCTTAACCAGGAGATTATGCTACCTTCTTCCTTAGAAAACCATTCTTCTGAAGAAGAATTCCTTTGGCATACTTTAGATGTGGTTAGGTCTTTAGAAAGTTAAATGGACTTTTATTGTACCTTGTTGGTTACCATAAATGTGTATCTGCCTCTGTTTCTACTATCAGGTGATGGGTTACTTCCGCAATCCAGAAAGCTTACAGAGTCGATGGCAAACCAGTGACGGAAAGTGTTAAAGCTCTCTCAACTAGGGTTGTTTCAGCCTCTTTGGAGGATACTTCTACAGAAGAAATTTGTAGGGCAGTAGTCTGGTCAGTTTCCAACATTTTTGTGAGGCATTGCCAGCTAGACGTTTCAGGTTCATCTGCCTCCTCATTTGGAAGAAATGTCCTTCCTTCCACAACTATTGTTTGATTAGATTTGGTTTAACATTGATATGGTGTAATTTTTTTTTTTATCACCCACCATTTACTTTTGCTTGGGAAGTCCCATAGGTGATGCTGACATGGATTGGCCAGGAAAACAGAAAATTATTACAATACTTACCATAATTTTCTTTTACTGGCCAATTTCCATGTCAGCATCAACAAACCCTCCCATTTTTTCTAGACCGACTTGGTTACGAGATTGCTTATCCTGGGGAGGTGGATTCCTTATATACCATCATTTGAAATTTTACTTCTGTTCTATCAGCTGAGAGGGAGGAGCTAACCCATAGGTGATGCTGGCACCCATAGGTGCCATAGGTGATGCTGAAAAGAAAATTACAGGAAGCATTGTATACATTTTCTGTTTTAGATTAGAGGATACATGCTTCTGCCTTCATTCTTTATTATGTCAGTAATATTAACATTATAGGGTAAATACCAGAGCCTTTGTATGTGATCGGCTGTGAAGGTTATATTGATTGTTTTTTTGCCTGTGTTAATCACTGCCTCTAATCTCTAATATACTTATCTGCTTTTTTTATTTTTTCCTCCTATCATTATAGACTTCCCATAAGTACTAGAAAGCAGCAATTGATGGAGGTACCCGGTCGGGGTGCCAGGCGGTCCATCACATTTGGTGGCAGCGGTGGGATGGCGTCCTAGTGCGAGGAGAAGCATCCTGGAGACACCAGTTACATGTTGATCATAGTGAGGGCAACGCTAGCATTCGTGCAGCACCCCTGAAAGCAGAGGTGTCCATTAACTTGGAGCAGGAAAGTATGGCCTACTCTAACTCTTGCAAAGATTTTCTGGCCGAGGTGAGGCAGCGAGTGGCCTGGTGTCCATGGATACCTTCCAGGTGATCTGGAACCAGATAACTGTTGAAAAACAAGCGAATAAGGACCAAGAGTTCCTGCTGGCTAAAGTGAGGAAAAGAAGTCTCCAATGAAAAGAGGTTAGCCTCTCTCCCCAGAAGAAACTGGAGGTAAGCCAAGAAGGGACCTCATAGACTGGTTCTGTGAGGAACCCCAACAAGCAGGTGGAGATGGGACCAAAGTCTCTCCATCGGCCCCACAGGGATGCTGGGCAGCCTGCCCAGATCCCTAGCTGCAGTGGAGCTACCAGGAGAGGAGGCAGGTGATCCTTATTCCCAAGTCCTGGGGGACCTCAGACTGGCACTGGGAGGAACCACAAATGGCAGGTGGAGATGGGACCGAGGTCTCTCTACAGGCCCTACAGGGATGCTGGGCAGGCAGCCCAGATCCCCAGCGGCAGCTGGAGTTACAGGGAGAGGAGACAACTGGTCTCTCCCCCCAGTGGCAGTGCATACTACCGGGAGAGGAGACAACTGGTCTCTCTCCCCAGCGGCAGTGCATCTCACAGGGAAAGGAGACAACCGGTCTCTCGCCCCAGCGGCAGTGAATCCTACTGGGAGAGGAGACAACTGGTCTCTCTCCCCAGCAGCAGTATACAGTACAGGGTGCAGAAGGTGTCATCCTTCCTCCCCAGCAGCAGGGTGAGTTTCAGGGAGAGGAGACAACCGGTCTCTCTCCCCAGCGGCAGTGTATACTGCAGGGAGGGGAGACAACTGGTCTCACTCCCCAGCGGCAGGGTGAGTTTCAGGGAGAGGAGACAACAGGTCTCTCTCTCCCCAACAGCAGCTGGAGATAACTGATCCACCTCCCCAATCACAGGGGGACAGCACTCCTGACACCAGTGGTGCAGATGGGACCGCGGCCTCTGCACCAGACCTACAGGGATGCTGGGCGGCAGGTCCAGATCCCCAACCAACACTGCAGGAATGCCAGGAAGAGGAGGTAGGCAATCCCTCCTCTCCACAGCAGATCCTCAACCGGGTCCTGGGGGTGGTATTCGCTGACCCCATCCCAGCAGAAGAGCTGGCATCAGGGCAGAATGCTACTGGCATCTGCCCTACCTGTCCCCTTGTTACAGGGCAGGACTAGGTACTAGTCCTCCCA